ACACACATACACACATACATATGAATGATATATTATCTCACCCTTTAGAACAGACTTATCCCCCAGATGGATTGTGATTTGCAGCCTTCTGCAATCCTGCTGACTTGGGAATGGCAGGAATTTTAGGCCAGGACACAACTGGAGGGCATCAGGTTGGAGAAAGGAGGGGGATTTCAAGCAACCCGACAGCTGGGCGAGGAAAGCTGGCAAGTCTCGCAGCGCAGCTCCAGTCTAGTACATCAACCTCTAGAAATAAACAACTGATCTGTGACTGCACCCAGCCCTCTCTTCTTCCCAGCCTACAAAGATAGAGACACATCTTTGGGATGAGGCGGGGCTCACAAGGACAAACTCCTGCTTTCCCAGGGAAAGCGGGGCGAGGTTTATGAAGCCCCGGCTTCCAACGGGGTTCGTGGGTACTTGGTACCGTCCCGAATTCTACCCTGCCTCTTTCCTGCTTCAAAAGATCTTTTCTTCCCTAAAAAGAGGAGAGCGGAAGACTGGGTCTCTTTTAGACTATTAGTCCTCAATTTATGACCACAGTAAGGTAAAGGTAAAGGTTCCCCTTGCACATATGTGCTAGTCATTTCCGGCTCTAGGGGGCGGTGCTCATCCGTTACAAAGACGTCTAAAGACGTCTCCGTGGTCATGTGGCCGGCATGACTAAACGCCAAAGGCGCACAGGACGCTGTTTCCTTCCCACTAAAGTGGTCCCTATTTTTCTACTTGCATTTTTACATGCTTTTGAAACTGCTAGGTTGGGAGAAGCTGCTGGGACAAGGAACGGGAGCTCACTCCGTGACACGGCGCTGGGGATTCGAACTGCCGAACTGCTGACCTTTCTGATCGACAAGCTCAGCATCTTAGCCACTGAGCCACTGCATCCCTTTTTTACGACCACAACTAAGCCCCAAATTTCTCGTAAACATTTTTTAAATTGAATTATAGAGTAATGTAAAATACAACATACAAAAGTAAATACAGGAGCAGTGAGAGTGGGGGGGGGGGGAAGGGGGGAGAGAAGGGAGGAAAGATAAAAGCGGGAAAAGGAAAAAGAAGTATTGACTTCCGACTCTCTCCGTTGCAATAGAATAAGGCATTGGCATCAAATCGCAGCTTTTTGCTTTTCCATAATAGCATGAACCAGTCATTTCTGTAAATGTCAATCAGTCTAATCTGTAAAACCGAAAGTCAGAACTTCATCCTTTTCCACATCAAGCACGAAGTTCAGAAGTGGTTTCCATGTGGAAACAAAAGTACTTATGTTCTTTTTTTTTTTAATCAAAGTGGTCAGTTTTGCCGTTTCTGCCAACCAGTGGTGCGATTCAACCGGGGTAACAACCAGTTCGGTGAACACGCGCTTCGCGCCAAATGCACATTTTGCGCACATGCCTAGCATTTAGAAAAGACAATTTTTAGCTAATAATACTTACCTTCTGCTTCCCCGGTGAGTAAAACAGCTGATGCGCGGGCGTATCAGCTGTGCTCAAAAACAAGGAAATAAAGCACAGGAAAAGGGCAGGGGCAGGAGGGCGGAGCCAAATGATCGCCAGAACTACCGGTTCACCCAAACTGGTCCAAACCGGTAGAATCTCACCCCTGCTGCCAACTCCATCAACTTCTGCAGCCAATTCTTCCAGGGTAGGAATCGAAGTGTCTTTCCAACTGAGGCCCAAATTTAATCGGGACAGTCCTTAATTAAATTTAGCCCCGTTTCACAACCTTTCTTGCCACGGTCGTTAAGTGAATCCCTGCATTTGTTAAGTTAGTAAGATGGTCGTGGGAAGTGAAGCTGGCTTCCCAGTTTCTGACTTTGCTCGTCAGAAGGTCACAAAGGCCTGACCGCCGGGGACTCTGCAACCATCATAAATACGAGGCAGTTGCAGATTTTTTCAGAATTTTGATAACACACCTGTGGGGTTGCTACAACCGTCCTAAGGGTAAAAAAAACAGCTCTCCACAGGGGTGGGGCTGCTGGGGGGGGGTGTCGCAGGAGTTTGGGGGATCTTCTAGCTAAGATTCCCCACCGTTTGGAGAACCCACAAATCCCACTCCCGGCTGGCCCCACCCACCCCACCCTGCTCCTCCTAGGAGACCCCACATAGCCCATTTTGGATGCAGGTAAGTGCAGGACATGCTTGAGGAAGGTGAAAAACGGCCCTCCCGGAAGTTTGGGAAGGCCGGAAACGGGCCCATTTCCGGCTTCCAGAGAGCCTCCGGAGCCCGGGGGGTGGGGGGAAAACACCATCCTTGCCCTGGCGCAGGAGGCCGACTAGGCCACACTCCCCATGGTCACACCCACCCAGCAATCGGGCAGAGAACCCATCGCTAAAATTTTTGAAGCCCACCTCTGCCTCTACGTCCATTTTTTTTCCATTGCCGTTGTAACTTTGGTCACTAAACAAACTGTCGCAAGTCGAGGACTCCCTGTACCCTTGTAACTCTTGAGCAGTCGCTAACTGAAGGGTTGTTCACCTGACTTGTTTTTTTTTTTGAAACCCTTTTTTTTTTGTGGGAGGGGGTGTCTCTTTGGGTCTCTGGAAAGGTAAACGTGGATGGGAAAAGCCCGAGAAGTACCCGGTTCAAATTCCTCTTACGATCTCTAGGAACAAAAGAGAAGGGAAAGTGGGGAGGCCGGGACCAGCGTCCGAAGGGTTAACTGGTGTTTGTGCTCTGGCACCTGTTTAAAGAGAATGTGGGAATGCTGGGTCCTGCCCCCTGCCGCTGACCCCTGGCGACCAATGTGCTGGTAGGGGTGTGGGGTAAGCAAGCCAAAATATGTCAACTATCCCCCCAGGCATGAAAAGTGACAACTCGGGGAGAATGGAATGAAAAGAGGGTGTGGGGGGGGAGATCCGTGTATTTAGGGGACAAGGTTGTGGGGGTGGGGGAGAGGCTATACAAGGACCAGCAATGGAAGACCCCACTCCACACAATCCATCCCTCTCCCCCTTCGTCCTCCCGCTGCAAATCTTGACCTCTGGTTTCCTTTGAAATTTTTTTTGTTTTGTTTAATTTTCGCGCAGCCATTCATTGCGAGGGAAAATCCTTTTTCGAGTCCCCTTTTACGGACCTCGTGTGACCCCATCCTGCCCTTGAGCCCGGAGAGGGTAGGGGCGGTCTGTATGTGTGTGGGGGTGGGGGGGTGTCATCCTCTGAAGGCCAATCCACCGCCACCGAGGTCTGGTGCCACATCTTCTGGGCCCGCGGTATAAATAGTCCGCTTTATAAATAATGCAGCATTATTATTCTCTCTCTATAATTATCTGGGGTGGGGGGGAAGTTTGCGGCCAGGCAGGTCCTTGGGCACATGGCGGCAGGTTGTGTTGACCGGGGGACAGCGTCCTGCTGCCTCTTTGAAGCGCCCTCTCCTCATGGACAGGCTGGCTGGGAATCCAACCAGCGGATCCTGCAACCCTATTCTGTGTGTGTGTGTGTGTGTGTGTGTGTGTGTGTACGCGTGTTTCACAAGTGAAGATTCCCAACTGCATCCCTTTCTTCTAAACCAACTTTAAGATGGGCGGACTTCAACTCCCAGAATTCTCCAGCCAGCAGAATCTGGTTGACCTTCAAGTTACCAAAGTTCAGAAAAATTATTAGAATAGGCCCCTTCCAGCCCTGATTTCTATTCTGTTCTGTTCTGTTCCGTAATTCTACTCTATTCTATATTGTTTTGTTCTGTTCTACTCTATTCTATTCCACTCTATTCTTATTCTACTCTATTCTTATTCTATTCTACTCTTATTCTATTCTATCCTATCCTATTCTACTCTATTCTATTCTCTTATTCTATTCTAGTCTAGTCTACTCTCCTCTTATTCTATTCTACTCATTGTAAGTCAAGACTCTCTGTATTTCCTAGTTCAACAATCTTAACACTTCCTTTCATACAACTCCTCCTGGCTGACCAACCGAATCTGTACCATACCAAATTCGTACCAATTCAAACCATAAAACCTATTCTCATAATAAAATGAGCTCGACTTCCAGATGCGTTAATCTCCTTTTCGAGAATTCTGGTTGTCATCCAGCACATCTGTGGAGCATGAGAGGAGTTGCTATAGCTGGGATTCTAGCAAAGTCCTGCCAGTGTAAGATGGGAGGAACTGAGGCAGGCATCCTGAAATGCAAATCCTGGAAGTGCAGGCATGCTTATTCTCGAACAGACTGGCAGAATAGAATAGAGTAGAGTAGAGTAGAGTAGAGTAGAATATAGTGTAGAGTAGAGTAGAATAGAATATAGTGTAGAGTAGAGTAGAGTAGAATAGAATATAGTGTAGTAGAGTAGAATAGAAT